GGTATTTAGCAGTCCTGGGCTCCCAATCCCTCCGCACTCCGACTCCTCTCCTCCAGCCGGTGGGCCGGGGTGTGGGTAGCACTCAGGTCTCGCTGGGCCACAGCTTGTATCTTACCCCCTTCGTGAGGTGCTGAGTTCTCGGAGATGTAGATGTAGCCTGACCATTGTAGTTTATCTTCTGGACTCTCTTTTAGGAATAGTTGTATTTGTTGTATTTTCAAAAATATATATGGTTTTTGGAGGAGATTTCTGCAGCCCTACTCCTGCTGCCATCTTGGCTCCTCTTTTCTCACATGATTGTTTTTTAATCAGTGAAAATATAAGCTCAATGAATGTTATAGTGTCATTAAAAATCTAAATTATATGGTTAAGTTCTCTACAACTATAAAGTTTTGTTTCTTAAACTGGTAAATGAATACACAGGTCTTTTATATTCTCCTTTATACTTTTTGCTGGAAGATTTCATACTTTTTAAAATTCAAGTCAGGCAAACTTTAATGAAAGAAATAAAGGCAAAATATTTAGTATGTGCCAAGAGTGAAAGGAGAATATTTAAAAGACTTTCCCTTTTGTGACATGGTATAAAAAAGTGGTTAAGGGCCCAGGTTCTAAAGACACACTACCTGGGTTGGAATCTGAGCTTGACACTTAATGGCCACTTAACCTTAAAATGGAGCAATTTACTTTATCTTTCCGTGCCTCGAGTTCCTCATCTACAAAATGAGAGCAATACTAATATTAAAGATACTTTGGTGGTATGTGTACATTTCAAGTTCTTAAAACACTTCCCAGGGGATAGAAAGTGCTATATATGTAAATGTTTTTCAATATTATTTTTGAAATGTCTTTAAAGATGCCAACAGGGCATCCAGGAAGACATTTGGAGACAGTTTGAATTTTAAGAGAGGTCTGACCTGGAAATATACTAAGAGGCACAAAGACACACACACGCACACACACAAACACACACACACTCTCTCTCTCTTAGAGCAGTGCCTTGCAATAAGAAGTACTATGTAAATGTTAAAATATTAACTATTACTTTTAATAAGCATTTTAGAAGCCAATTGTATTTAAGCTCATTAAAATAAAAGTTAAAACTTAAGTGCATATAGTAGGCACACACTACAAGTTTAATGAATAAAAATAATTCTTAGTAGTGACCTTTTCTGATTCACCATAAAAAGTTAATGCAAGTCTAAAAAATACAAGGATTTATATTTCTCAGATCATACTCAAAATATAAATCTAAGTTTGGTAGGTAAAAGCAATAAAATTATTACTAACAATTATAGCCACAGTAATAATATCAGCTTTGACTTGAAAATATTTTCAAATTTACTGTGTTATTTCAGAAACACATGCATTTCAAAAACAACCCCAAGTGGATTATAATCATCAATTATGTTCTCCAGTTTCCTCAGGCTTAATGTCCCTGACCAAAATGGTTGACAGTATTTCGTCAGGATTCATATCTTACCTTCAGAGGTTTGGCTCACATATACGGAACACCCAGAGAGACAGGGGAACCCTCGCCAAGTTGTTCACTGTCTAAAAACTGAAAAACTAGTATGGATGCCAAGTAGATGGTTTTAAATGTATTTTTTAAATCCGCTATCCCTAACATGCACCAAATATGCATAGATAAGACAATCCAATTGTTTTCTGTTTAAAAATGTTTATTGATTTTCACTGACATTATAGCCAGACCTACGTACTATTCTTCCATTGCAGTCCCTTACCTGTGGCAGAATCCCACTAAAGTACATGAATCTCTTCTAAAGAATAAGATGGGTAGAAGTGCTGGGGTAACTGACAAAGCTAAAAAGAAAGCCAAGGAACATAGCGTGAGGACAGTTCCCATCTGAGGATGGAGGAGAAAAAGGGTTGGTCCTCAGCCTTAAATTCAGGTGTACATATCCTAACACATCAGTTCCCAGGCACAAAGGCAGCTGAGAAGGTTTCTTTTTTAGTTACTATTTTCCTAGCAATGTCTGGAATCCATGTATCATGTAACTAAAACACTGTAATTTAGTCTATCATCATACTGTATTTGAAATAATCACTAAATTTAATCACATTATAAGAAAAAAATTATTCAAAGATGAAGCTGTTTAACATAGGATAACCTTATTTTTAAAAAACCATAAACCTATGGTAATAAGAGCAAATCACTGAATAAACACTTATACTGAGCATTTGAATCCATAAATTAAATAAATCTATAATTTGCTGTCTTTAGCACATTTCAATTACTATACTTAGCAAGAGATAATAGGACTATAATAAGCTAAATGCAAACCTAGAAAATAAGTCTAAAGTACAAACAACAGAATTTTTTGTGGTTTTTTGTCTCTTACCTGGCTCTCTGACTGCATCTACTTTCTCCTAATACATAGATATTTCAGAAAAAGAAGCTGCTACACAATAATAATTTTCAACTTTTTCTGTCTTTTCTTCCCCAAATTCATCCATCCGAAGTGTTTGCATTTGCTTGCTGGTAAATGCTATGAAAAGTCCAGTCAGCTTATCCACTACCATCTCCCTCTGAGCTTCAAAACAGAAAAGTTCCAAGTAGCTGGAAAAGCAGCAAGATTCCAAAGGATGCCAGTTGAGAGCTTTTATTGAAAGAAAAAAAAACAACAACAAAAAACCTACTTCCTAAAAGTCAACAGTTCAAACTCATAGCTGGTGATGAGTGTCTTTGGAAAATGAAAAATCTTTTCACGTCTTCAATCAGCAGGTTTAGAATGCTCCCCATCCACAGTGGGGTAGATATGGTCCTCGACGGTCGGATAGTCACTAGCTTCCTTGCTGGCTCTGAGGCTCAGGCTGAGAAGCTCGGTCTGGAACTTGTGGATGCTCTTTGCCTTCCCAACAAGGACAATTGTAAATTAAACGCAGAACCTCCTTGTAGATGAAGTCGACAACGGCACCCACTATTCTTTTCGGCTTCCTCCATTTCTGATGTGGCAACTGGCTACTTTGCCCAGCACCTGCTTGGCGGGCTTTCTTCAGCATCGTGGGTGTGTTGTCCGTTTCCAGGATATGTGTGGTGAACCCGTTCATGTCATACCGGACTCAGATTTTCAGTATCTCAAGGATCTTCACTTCCACAGAATATTTGAGGATGCTGATCACTTTGATATATACTCCCACTGGAAACATAGTCATCCCCTGCTTTGCTTATCTCTGCCCAGCCCCTGGAGGACCTCAATAGGCTTGGTGGTCACATAATCAATTTTGTAGTGAATGTAGTTTGGAGCTCTCTCTGCCTGCCTGATTATCCCCATGAAAGAGACCTGGGAAATCTCGATTTCCCTTATCTTGAAGACCTTATCAACAACCATGGTGGAGGTGAGCAGCTGGTTTTTACAAGAAGGTATAATGTCCCAGATTTGGGCCCTGGATCTTGGGGCCTTAGCAGCAGAAGTTGCACTGCCTTGAGATGCTCTACCATTGCTTCACCGGCTCCACCTGGTAGTTCCCAAACCCATTCTCACTCATCTTAAAGACAATGCAGAGAGAGGATGCGAAGGATTTGGCTCTTGTCAGTGAACTCTGCAAACGGGTTCTCACTACCGCTTGAATGCTTGGGCTTATGATGACACAAGCAGCCTCGCAGGACCTATTAAGCCAATGACCTATCAGAATGCAGCTGCCTCCAGCCAGTCAGGACCTGCCACCTTCTCACTCTATCCCATAATTCTCTAGAGTTGTCTGGTAGTTGCTGGGATACATTTTGAAAGCCCCATGTGTAATTTCAAGACTTTATTTTCATTTACATAAAAACATATTTTACTAGGTTTCCTCATCCCCACTTCATTCCCAAATGCCACTTCTTCTACAGTCACTTCTTAGAGATTCATCTTTTCACTCATTCAAGCAAAAGCCATTCCAACAGGTATTTTCAGAGAACATAAATGTACCATAGTAGGGTAACGTAGGTTACAAGCTGGGAGAAAAAAAACACCACCCCAGTTACTCTTCTCAGAAAACGCACATCTTTGCTAAAATCATTAAAACCAGATACAATCCAGAAGAAATGGCCAGACATCCACCTTTGAATGATTATCATATTCAAAGGCAAGTCACATCTTATCATTGCCTTTTAATTTTCTTTTATTGTAGAATTGTTTTTTTCCAGTTATTCTGTCAAGTGCACTATAGGTAAGAATAAATATTTCAATTTACACATAAATCCAAATGAGCTCTAAATTACTTTTGAGGCTTTGTGGAGAAGTAGGAGAAATACAAGCTGTGGGTCCCATTATATACTAGAAAAAACATGAATAAAATAAAAATGTAGTTTCTATGTACACTAATTCAGTAATTTCTTAACTTAGAGTTCACCAGTTGTGTAAGTAGATCCCATAATATTTTCATATTACACTGAAAATCTATTTTCCTTATAACAACATTTTATTTGGGAAGTAATTAACTTAAGGCTTTAAAAATCCTTTTTTGTTAAGTAAGAGCCTAAATATGTAGAGTTTTGAGTTTATTAATACTGCCTCTCACTTCTTTTATTGGGTTAAAATTATTTAATTTTTGCTATCCCAAATTACAGAAATGTGTGAATAGTATACCTAAAACTTGTAGAAGAATATAAAATCATATTTACTTCTCAAGTTAAAAAGGAATAATATAATAGAGCTAATATACTTAATTTGTTTTACAAATAAATATATAATCATTATCTGAGCACACAGATTTCCATGTAAATGTGTGTATTTAATTTATGGATCCATGTTTTATGTAATCAAAGAAGAATTAAACATCCAAGTAATATCTGTACTCTTTACATCACACATTAGAGACCAGATTAACTATATTATTGAAATGCTCACCACCTCAATCAGACATTGGTGTTTTATTAGCTAACATCAGACTTCTAGTCAGAAAATCCTAAGGTTAAAATTACACCACTGATTATATTCTCAAAAACTATATATGGTACAAATTGTATGAATCATACCAAAACACTAAGAACCACCTACCTGACAGGATTGCTGGTTAAAGAAACCCTCAGAGATTCAAGGCAGTTAAGAAGTTTCTCATCTGAAATACCAGATCGTAATTCATGAACATATTCTTGTGAAGACAGGGTGCATTCATGTTTGCTGTTTTTCAACCCTCCCTATAAAAAGAAAAAAAGATACCATTTTAGAAAATAGGATTTTTTTAACTTTTGAAATAAAATAATGCATAGAATGTGAATTTTTACTGTATAAAGATACGTGCAGGGTGCTTAAAATTTCTTGGTCATAGAATTGATACTGTAAAATCATGTTCTGTATATTTCAACACTCTCCTTAGCCTCATTTAAAGGAAAATTACATTGCTAGTGCTCATGGCTTGAACAGAATATGGGTTTTAGATGCATAAGGTGTCACTAACCAGGATCCCTAAATTTACAATCCAGATATTTGGCTTAATATTAGCTGGCCTTCCCTAGCCTACAGGATGAACATTTAGAAATCATTTTATTAATTTTCCTAGTTAAGACATTTATGTTCTAACCCACAAAATATAGTCAACAAAATTTAATATAAAACAGTATATATAACCTAAATCTATTGAAATATATGAGAGTACTGGCCTATCTCAAAAAATGAGAAAGTAGTTCTCAAAATGTAAAACAGTATAGTCTCCAATTAGCATGTTAGTTAATCAAATTAGTCTAAAGCATTCACCAATTCCCAACTTTTCCTTCCTAACTACATTACTCCCATGTTGTAGATTAATCTTAAAAAGTCATTAAATGCATTTATCTGATCACTCATTTTTAGCTTAATCTCCAATATACATGGGGTTATTTCTAGAACTCATTATCCCATCACAGCTCCTTAGCTGCATCACTTTGCCATAATTATGTAAGTGGTTTGGGAAAAAGACTGGGAGGAAAACATCATCAACACATTCGTTGTACTAATAATTCATAGTTTCACATTCTAGATACACATAATCATAACTGTCCCCTTTTCTTTATTACAAATATATTTCCCTGAATTAAAACTCTAGTTTGAGTCCCATTTTCTAAGTCTGCACGAATTACATTCAGTTTCTGCTAAGTATCTAAGCTAGAATAAGAAAAGCAATTTTTTTTTTCCATTTGGTAGAGGTCATATCATTAGAGGCTATAGAATTTTTTAAAATGTGTTAATAATGAGAAATGGATTCCCTAGGGTTTTATACTATTTAACTTTTTATTGAGAATGCCTCCTCAATATAGAAATTGTCAATCACTCTTAATGTCTGAATTTTTTAAATTTCCATTAAATAGTAAATGTTTAAAGTCTTATGTAGGGGACTGCATTTCCTTATAGTACTGTGGCACTACCCCTATTACAGCACTTAAAACACTGGAGCAGAGGTCAATATTTGTGTCTATCTCTCTTCTAGGCTGGAACTCCATGTATACCAAGTATCTAACACAGTGACTGAATTTAGTGAGTCTTAACACAAGTGTGCTGCTATTGCATCTATCCATAACAATTACAGAACAAGAAACACAGTTTCATACTTGCAGCTCCCGTATTTTCTGTAGTGGCCACTGACTTGATTTTTCTTGCTTTGTTAAGCTACACAGATGTTCAAGAAGTCTACTGGATGAATCACCACATAGATGGCACAGTAAGCAAAAACATCACTCTGAAATAATTTCCACATTTCTATAACTTATTTACCTATCTCTTAAGGCTACAGATCCATAAAGAATAACAGAGCAAGGAAACATTTATGCCATAAAATTTTGCAAGTCTACAGTCATATTACCACTTTCATATGATCCTCGAACTTTTTCTTAATTAATGGATAACAAAGGCCCTACTGATCCTCCCCTGGAGGCTTGTGTACAGAGCTATGCCTGTAGAAGGACTTCTGTATTTGCTGTTTTCTCTGTCTGGAAGATTCTTACGCCTGATCTCTCCTTTGCTGGCTCTTATCACTTAAGTCTCAGCCCAACTGTAGTCTCCCCTCCACACGCTGGTTATCATCACACCACCATTTAAAATCTCACTTACAGTATTAGCTCTATAAAAGTTTATCTCATTCAGCATTTTATTTGTTTACTATGTCTTCATTAGAACATAAGCTTTATGAGGCAGAATTCTTGCCTCTCTTGTGCACTGCAGTATCTCCAGATATTAACACTATGCTTGGCACAGAGTAAGAACTCGAAACATATTTCTTAAATGAATGAAAGGGTGGACAGATGGATAAACAAATGGGTGAATGATTGATGAGTTTCAACATGCTGAAGCTTCCAGACTCAGTTTAGTTTTGCTTCAGCATATCCATTCTAAGACATTTAATTTACAACATATTCAAAGATGTTAGTATAGAGCAGGTACATTGACAGAATGTATGGCATGCTGAGGACAGCTCAAATTGCCACTGGGTTTGAATTACAGCACCCTCATTTAGCTTCTAGGTAATTTTTGAGCAGGCTATTGAGCTAATCTCTATAAACCTATTTGCTCTATAGGGGTGATAAACACCTACCCCTCACGTTTGCTAGGAAGATTAAGCAAAGCAATGCAAAGAAATGCCTAAAACAGGCATTTCATATGTATTGTCTCAGTGAGTAAGCTGCTCAGAAAATACTGGTTCTCTTCGTCTATATGGCTGGAGCTGAAATCCTCTTTATGAAATGATTGGACCAGCCCTTCACCTTGGAATTCACCCCTCCCCCAAGTCTCAGAAAAGAGTTTAAATTATATAGTTTAGGATACTCTGTGGTTATAAGGAATGGGAACAAACAATCTAATGGAGCAAGATAGAAAATCTATAACCTTACAGAACAAATGCCTTTTATTAAGCTTATAATAACTTTGGGGTTTCAACGTAAGCTCCTATTTGAAAATTGTGAAAACATGACAGTATGTAAAGGCTGCGCTGGCCCTTAAAGATCAGCTCTTCTAATACTCTCATTACAGAAATAGAGAATCAAGGTGATAGCCCAAGTTCACATAATTAGTGAGGTTGCAAGAATAAAATGCTAATATTCTGGTACTCAAGTTACTTCCTTTTCTGATGTATGCCACTTTTCCCAGAATTGAATAAAAAAGTAAAGGAGTAAGTATTTAATTCTGAAATCACTATTACAAAATGTCAAAGTATCTTCAGCATAGTCAATATGATGCAACGTAATATTAAAGAAATCACCTAAAAACAAAACAGTGCAATAGATTAAACTAATTCTCACTATATTTAATAGGGCTGTAATACAAGAATGGCTTATTATTAACATCTTGTTCTGATACTGAACAAAGGAAACAACTAGATAATGGATGGATAATAATGGAAATTTTAATTAGCTGCTCTGTATGAGATTAATGAAAATTACCACTGTGCCCATTTGATCTTTAAAAAATAATGCAAAGTTAGCAATTAGCATACATCATGTTATTCCAAAGCTAGGTGAACAAAGAGCTTCCCTAATTTGAAGCCATTCCTTAATTTGAAAATCATTGGGGTAGAGATTGTACTATTCTGAGCTTGTATTATTCTAAGATACTACATAAAAAATCAAAAGGTACTTTGGGTTGATTTAATAATCATGCTCCCTTACTCTCATATGAAATGTTTGTATCAAAACCAGACAAGCAATATTTTAAAAAGAACATTTTAAGTTTGCAGTGGAGATACCACTTCTGATTTTAGATTGACTTAGTTTGAGAAAAATCTGTCATTCTTTAATGTAAACACAGATTTACTTACAACTTGAGGAAAGGCTTCATAGTTCTAAGCTGTAAAGGTATCTTGCTGCAGCCAGTGGGAAAAGGACTGATTTGTACGCAGGTCTTTTCAATTACAGCATGCACACAAATAGCAATTACTATCGGTGGTGCCATCTTCAAGTAGGAAGGACCATATTATTGTCATGAAAATACTAATACCGTTACTGTTACTGACCAGGATTTATAAACCCTAATGCAGTCAGGTTTCTTTGGCTATTTTAATCAAGTGAGTTTCTTATCTATCATTGCAGTTCTCCAATAGAGCAATGTTATAGATGAACAAATTTGGAATTATATTTACAAAGGTCTACAGTGCTGTTCTTTGAGAGGCTTCTATTACTTAAGAAGCATAAGAAGTAGAAAAGCCATTTTCCTCATCGGCAGTCCTTGAATTCCAGTACAAAAAGGAAACACAAAACAAGTGCCTGATCCAAGTCAATCTACCCATTTATTCTAATAGTGATGTATTTGGTGGGCTACATGGCTCTGAATATATTGCTAAACCTTTAGATGGCTTCCCTCCAGTTATGTAAGAAAAACAACTAGTAAAGGGAGATTATTAGAGTTAAGTAATTCATGTTTCCACAAAATGCAAAATGTATTTTAAGACAAATATATTACATTACAACATTTCAAGCAATTTTGTTTGGATTATATGCTGTGGAAATTATTTAAATTGCATGAAAAGTGTAGCATAAAAAATACTATCCATTATCAATTCAGGATATGTAAGATAAAAGCTTATACAGGAAATTAGTATCAGAAAATAACTTTCTGTAGTGTCGTTTCCCATTGCAGGACCCAATATTTTAATTAAGAACTTTACAAGTGCGAAAAGTCATCTATGCAAAATAAGATAACATATCCTAAATTCTAGGGCAGAAAAGGCAATGGTTTTTACAGGAACGTAGAAGCATCATAATTCTTCAGATAATACACACTATTTCTCCCAAAAGGAATTGACTAAGCTTATTTAAATGTGATTAGCTAAAATGTTTCAAGTATAATTTCTATGAAAAATCATTTATTGTTTACTTATTGAAGGTCCTACATATTAAACATGAGATAAGCATTTCACCCCCAAATTATAGAATCCAAGACCATCACAGAACAAATACTTAACTCATTCTTTCAGCACATGTACTATGAGGAACATCAAGTACACAAAGAAACTCTAAATATATATTTAAATTCTACGGCCCTATTGTTAATTATTCTGTTGTAAAACATATTTAATTTATAGAGTATGGAGGAAAATATTTCATAATAACAAAGTAATTACTCAATTAACTACACAATAAATTTTAATTTTTAACATTAACTGAAACAAAAGGGTGATATTAAGTAGCAT